CGATACGCTGTGGAATATTTTCACCGTGGACGGGAGTAATTGTTCCCTGGCAATTCGTCGCACGTTCATCGAGAACCCCGCCGAGTCGATAGTTCGCGGAAGATTAAATTATGTATTAGAAAGTTCTTTGTAATTTTAAATTACCGGCTTGATTGCAGTTTCACGAAAGTTTCCAGCCTCTGCGGAGGGTAGTTTCGAGATACCTTCTCAGAAAGAAGCACTTTTCAATAGCTCGTTTAAAAATTGTTAAGCTACGTCTGAATTTCTTCTGCAAATTCTATTTTCATTCTTCGTCACCTTTTAGTGTAGTCGAACTTCTGGAGTTACTAAGACACGATCTTTTGTTTTCTTTTTTCTACTAGAAAGGAGAACGTGAAATTGCAAAAATTGGTGCATTTTTTGCTGTTTTTCCTGCTACTTGGAAATCTCAGAACGAGCGAGCTATTAGACTCGTTTATATCCCGACGTGGCTCTGGCAAAAAATTGCTATTAGTTGGCGCGGACATGCGAGAGGATCGATGCAATTTGGCGTTTTTAAGGGGACGAAAGCTGGCGTCGCATGCGGCAGATGTTGCTTCCCACGAGATGACCGAACGTCCAGATTCGCTGCTCAACTTTTCCGCGGTTGATGCCGTGCCAGATGCGTGCAATGATATAATCTGCCTTCGTGGTGCTCGCTGACGGAATGCTCGAAGAACTACCAATTAGGAGCGTAAGTTCAGTCGCAAACTTGTTTGGACTGCAGTCCGGCGTTTACGTTCAGGGTATGAATTTCAGTGGAATAAAAATCTCGTCCAGGAAGACGGAGAAGTGCGAGGATTCCTCGGGGAACTTTCTCGAGAAACATTCGAATTACGAAGATAACTCGAATTGGTATTTAGAGAAAAATTCGAGAATTCTTCCTTACAAAGTTGTTGTAGAAGCCTTCGAAGTGTTAATTAATTCTGGAACTTCGATCTTTTCTTTTCAAAAACGTAAACGATCTTCTGATTCGATGAGAAAAATGTATAAATTTCAACGAGTGTCATTTTCTTCGAATTATAATTATTTTTCACGGGCCTGGTATATTTCAGACAAATTTCCATCCTTCTACTTTTCAAGTTTCCGTTTTCCAATTTTATTTACCCTCTGTTACCGTCGTAAAGTCAAATTGCAGCTTTTCCTTCAACGAGAATGCATTTCGGAAAATTGCTCGCGGTGGCGAATTCTTGAAACAAAGTGTACACGAAATTGTCGAATTCGTCAGTTTGAGAATCCTGTCGACCGTTCTAGTAATTTCCATCGTTGCATTTCACCAGGCGGAGCGAGCAGAGAAAATACGGATACCTAATGGGAATACAAGTGCGTGTGCATCTGCGCGCACTGCATACGTGTACGTACACATGGCCGATCATATGCATACATACACTCGTATCACGTAATACGATGTCATTTCGTTAGTGGGTTTATATGCGGCAGAATGAGGAACACGTGGAGGAAGTAGGTAAATTGCATAGGCAATTTCCGTGACGAAATTTGCACAATCAATCGAATACCGCAGCGAAATTGGCTACGAATTCGGCTGACCCGCAGGAGCAGCAAAGGAAACTCAGGTGTTTTTGAAACATCTTTTCTATCGTATAAATGGTAAAACGCTACAATATGTTGCACCGAATTATTGATAAATTTTCTAAGATAGGAAAGATTAGAATAGAGATTTTTCAACCCTTTAACAGAACTGTAAGACACATAGCGGATTCGTGACAAATAGCGATACTTGGAAATTAGAGAATTTCAAGCGAGACGATAGGAAGTCGATAAAATTAAGTCGTAGAAGTCGAACAGAAGTGAGAGAAAATTTAAATAGGTACTGTAGAAGAGATACAAGATTTAAAGGAGACTTGTTACTTGCACAGAAGTCGGTAGTGAGAAATTCGAGCTTTGTAATTTGCTAGCCAAAGCTACTTATACATCGGATTCTTCCAGATCCACCGTTTTACTGAAAGAGGAAGTCGACTTATTTATGTGGTTTCCACGGGGCAGAAAGTTAAAAGCGACTTTGTTTCAGAACTCCGAGAGTCAAGACTCAGGTACGGGGTAAGAAGTCAAACAAGGGTCGTGGAAAAGGAGTTTCTGCGGTGCTTAAAACCTCTTGTGGCAGTACCCTATAGTGGGAAACAAATTTTCCATATTACCTCAGGTACAATTCGATAATTAAGCAAATTAAAGGCAAACAGACGAGAGTATTCACAATGCAAACTTCTTCCATTGTTCTGAAACCTTCCTTTTCTTGTTTGTAGGCATTTTGGGACGGTTTATGGCTTGGCCTGCGCCTCTTGGCGAGTGACAAACACCAGACCCGAGTACCCATCGGTTCGGCCCAGCGATAACTTTGCCATTCGACGGGAGTCGGTTCTTAGCTTCGGTAGTAGACGGACGCCGAAGAGTCCGAAATAAACTACTTTGCACGACATCTTGATTTGAGTAAAGTTCATTACACCACTTCCTACATGTTATACATTGCTGACCGACGTAGAATGTATACCGGGTGAGATACTTCATTTAATAAGTATTCAATAGGAAATCTTGGAAGGCTACACCGAAGTGAAGTAGATAAAACTTAACTGACTCAGACACTACACCATATTATGCGATACATCGCACGTTCCACTAACGTAAATATATACGCGATCCAATTTAACCCTTTGACTCAATGTCAATGTCCTGAGAATAATATCTCGTCCCTTTCTAACGTTCTTCTCAAAAGTCTCTCTCGAGCTAAACTGTTACCTATTTCATAAATAGGGTAAAATCTGCACGTGGAGTTCGATGTAGGAATGAGAGAGAGAGAGTGAGCATGTGGAAGCGAGAAAGAAAATATAAACAGCAGAGCGTGCATGCTGAGACAAAGGGCGGGAACGCGATAATCGGGAGTTCGTATCGAGACGTAGACGACGAACCTTTTAGACGAAGACGAGAAATGTCGAGACGCACTTTCAGTAGTCGTTTAGTGTATTTCTTCTCACCGTATTTTCTCTGTTTCAGTAAACCTGTTTATATCTCTCTTCCACATAATTTCACGATCACGCCTTTATTTACTTCTTCTCCTACGGTATTAACTAACTCCTCGTATCTCTCAAATCGCTCAAAGTTAAATCAACGAAGTTAGACAGTACACTATAAAAGGATATACAAGTAACACATACGATATAAAAAAATTGATAATTTACATGGTGCAATCATTTTTTAAGCAAAGGATAAATAACCCTACGTCAAAGTCCTGACAATAATATTTCATCCCTTTGCAACTTTCTCCCTAAAAGTCTCTCCCTCTGCCCGAGTTTCGTTCGAGACAAACTGTCGAAGGGTTAAACACCCGAATTACCCTATTTCATAAATCTTCCATAAACTACCATCTTGTATCTCTCCAAATTACTCAGACAAAATTAATCAACGAAACTGCACGCGAATAATATTTTCAATCTAAAAAAACTCCCCACGCACACTGTATAACATCGCTTCCACAGTCACCGCTTCATCCGACGGGGAAGCAAAGGTTGCAACCCGAACAATCCAACGCGATTTCAATATTAATCACCATTTCGCCCCCGCAATATCCGTATTCCTACAACATTCATCGCGTGCTGCGAGGAATTCAATTTCCCTCGGCGGCGTTCAACTTTCGAATAGGTAATACCCAATTATGTAATACGTTTCGCCGGCTTGGTGAGGTGCCGCGCGCGAACAAGCCGCGCGCAGGTAGCTTCCGTTGCATTTCCAGCGGAACACTTTGCCGTGGAGGAAGATCGATGTAGCTGTCAAGCTGGCTTGCACGAAGAATGTAAAATTAGAGTGTTATTACAGGGGGCATGGCGGTGGCGGTAAGCGGCTAGCGTGTTCCACTCGTGCGTCGCGGAACAATCTTCGCATTTGCATGCATACGGGCGGGTCTGATGAGTTCGAGCAGGCTCGTTCAACGGGAAAATTACATCGACACCGGAAGCATGTAACTGTTAAAATCCTTCGCGACGCGCGTTGCGACGTCGTGGCGCGAACGCGCGCTAATTAAGTTCGCACGCGTGCACGCTGAAATTTCTCTGTTCTTCCGCCGACGCTTCGCTCCGTGGAAACGCGCCGAAAGCAAACAGGCGAAATTTCGCGAATTTCGAGAGCGTTTCGCCGCTTTCGGAACGATCGTGAAACGTGGAGAGTGTTTTGATTAATAGCTTGGAGCTATTTGTGCGGTGTTGGTACACGTAGAAGTGTGGAAGAATGGTCCGGTTGTTGTTAAGCTCTTGTCGTGTAATAGCGAGTCAACAGATTACAGCGGAGGATTTGAACTGCGACGTTAGTTTTAATTTTATAAGACCGGGGATTATTAGACGTAACTAGGAGACGGTATTTTAGCTTTTCTCGTCTGACGCTGTATTGAAACAGCGAACGGCTGACGCTTACAGGATGTTTCGTGTGAAACAGGTCACCTACTTGTCTTCTTCAGATGTCACAATATTGAAAATGTTTCATGTATCGTTTTAGTAACTTTGAAACACGAATAACGCGTTACGGGGACATTTCTCTTAAATTTCGATTTCGTTGATATGTCACTTTACGCGGAAGTGTGCTTAGGTTGAGATTATTCTTGCACGCGTGATTAATATTTATATTTCAAATGCATTTGACAACGTTATAATTAAACGAGATACACGTTAAATTAATTGAAAGAAATATTTAAGGTAATGACGGGCCATACGTCAAACATCCTTGTGAATTCATTTATAAATATGAAATGTAGATTATTATTTCAATTAACGGTGAAGTATTTGGACGAACGAAAAGGGGAGATATTTTCGATGAATTTTACATTGATATCCGAAATCAATTTGCACACGGTATTGACTATCACACGTTTGAACATTGAAAATCGAGTAAAATGCTTTTCGGTATCGACGTACGTACGTATATATGTATATAACAGGTGATCTAATTAGCAGGTAATATTAAACGGTAATATTTCGTCCTACCTTGTTCGAGCTCTGTCCCATATCGAGTTCCCGATTATAACGCTTCTCGCCGTAGATCCAATCTTGCACGACCTTCTGAATTTCTGGCTTCTCGGGGTCCACTAATCGAAAGGCAGTGATATTGGTCCCGCCGTGCTTGAATTCCTCCAGATCGACGCTGTGCAGGTCCTGCAAGGTATTAAGTTCACTTTATGAATTTTTCGAATCGATACCCAGCGTTTTTGCACGCTGTCCGGCAGAGAATTTTATTGCTTCTAGGCTATAAACGTTTAATATCACCGGCCCGCCGACGTTTACCATGAATCGTCAGATTTATAGAACATCCTTCCCCCCGTTCCGAGCTTGCGAAAAAATTGTCACATCTCCGATACCTCGAATTATTGTCGTCTGGGTTCGAAGGCGGTCGAATATTCTCTGCTAGCAAATATTCTAACACTACAGGAGTAGGTTTTTTACGGTGTTACGAAGTTCGAAAATGTGGGAAATTTTATATTTGACGTTAAAACTAGATTTAGGGAGAGTGAAGAATTTATCTCTTCAAACTTGAAGTGAATAACAGGATCCCACAATTTGTGGGATTATTTATTAACCCTTTGAAGGTAAAGATGAACTCACAAATCACTTACAACGCAGTAAACTCGTACTTTTAAGCAATAAAAATAGTTGGCGTAATTATAAACTCATATATCGTACGATTTGGTTAAAGAAAAAAAATTGAAATAGCGATCTAGTTACGCGTTGCACCAGTACTAGTCTCGAAGACTTTATCAACTGAAAATCGCCATACGTTTTCAGAGATCATTCGAAAGAAGGCACCGAATGAATTTCTACACCGAATAATTCTTCCAACTTCATTCATCCCCCATTTCCAATCCCTTTCCAAAACAATTACCACATCTCCGCCAGGACCAGCTAATTTCAAACGAAATCACAAGGCGTCCATTAGAACGATCATAAGCTATCATCGTCCAGTACAAACCCCTGCACTACCATTCATGGACGATCGTCGCTTCAGAGACATCGCCGTTCAATTCAATCGGCTTCCTCGCATAGTTCAATCCGTAAACGCGTCTCCGGTCGCGCTTCCGAGGACAGATATTACTCGGCCGGACGCGGCGCGCGGCGGCTATCAGGCAGAAATTGAGATATCTCGGGTACAGAATGGAGCGAAGCAGCAGCTCCTCTACCGAGCTATCTACATCGTGGTGGCAGCCTGCGTGATTTAAAGTCGGCTGCCCTCAAAGCACAACTCCGCCGCCTCGTCTACCTTTTCGAATGCTCAAGCAGCCAGAGCCACCGGCCATTTATTATCCTTTGTCCTGCGTTCTGGTCAGGATAGATAAGTTTGCTTTGGTTCACGATCCGCTGTCCCCGCGAGTACTACGATCGACCAAAGCAGCCGATACACCCGACACCGTCGACGATCGATCTGCAACCGGTGATCGATCATCGCCTCGCCTCCGGACGTTTGTTCATTCTTTACGGGACGTTGCGTTATTGCCTCCAACTACGCGGCTCTACTATGCTACTCGAGTCGATAAAATTATGCGGATTTCGATGGTTTTCCGTCTGTTCGAGATACCGGCGAAAGAATTACAGTTTTACACTGTTTCGAGATATTTAGGCGGGCCGTATTATTTTTTGGGAAGTGAATGGTCGTTGTTATTTCTTTTACAATACTACTGTGTGCGATAGGTGTTGAAATGCAATTAAAGTGTGACAGATTTTTCTATTCCGTCATAATTCTTCCATATTTCTTCTCTATGATTTTGCAACATCGGCAAAATAAGCCACGATAAACTGAAATCACACGTAACTCGAAGCCAGTGGAATCTTCAGGCATTCACCAGCTTCCAGCAGCACACCTCACTGTTAGTATAACGATGCTTAACAGCGGTACACGATTCTCACCAGGCGACCATGACAAATTCATCCATTTACACCACACCAACACCTCTTAGCTTCGTATTCAACGAGACGTTCCCACAAATCACTCAGCCAGCCAAGATGATGCCGAGCGACCATCCGCGGAATAATTTCATTCCCCTCCCTTCGACCGCGATTTTAACGATCGAAAACGACCGGTTGGTAAGAAACTCGCATTAACGAGCCGACGAATCACCTGTCATCAGATTAAGCTCGGTCCATGAAACACTGATTTCTGGGACGCGGAGTTATGGCCGTTCGCAGACGGCCTCGCATTTCGGGGCCACAAATTTCGACGCGTCCGCCGAATTCTACGACGCGGACGTATTATCGCATCTCGCTGGTCATTACGGTTATTATGCCTGTTACGGTTATGATGATTGTTATCGCCGTTATAGTCCACGTTGCCATTAAAGCGTCTTATTACGAGCGTTTAGTAGGCGTGACGTTGCGCCACGAGCTCTGACTCCTTATTAACGTCCAGTTGTTTAGACCTGCCCTCGTGTTTTGCATCCTTCCATCCTGTATCTCTTTCCGTAATTCTCGTCGTCAAATTCCACGAACTCGAGTCAATTACAGTAGGCGTATCGTTCGTTTTTATCGATCGGTCAAAACGTACTTTTCCTCGAGCAGCCGCTCGATAGATCCTCACCGCGATCAACCGTGTTTGCTCGATTTCACGAAGAAGAAACCACCTCGATCGCGGCGTTTCTTTTCGTTCGCCAGTGTTATTCAGACGACCGTTATACCCGGCGCAATTGAATCGCTATGATTTTATCGGTAATAATACAGGCGCGTTTAATGGACGCGCGGCGTCAAAGCGCGATTACAGCTGCGTCGCACGAAAATTATTTACCCGGACGTCACAGCTTTTCGATTATTAATCCATTACACCTCTTATCAGATCGCTTTACGTTCCGTTCGTTTCACCGCGCTGGCATTTTCCTCCTCGCGAGCTTCTCCTCCGGGACAAATTCAACGATCGACGTGTAATATGAATTAAAACGCAGGAAGGAAGTGCGCGGCATTTTCTGGCGGGATTCTCGTGAATTTTTCACACAGCCGGAGTAAGAAATTCACGCTTCGAACAGACCTCGATAATAAACCGACGCGTTATTGCGAACGAAGAGCGCGTTACTTGATAAGAAAAATCACTCTCTCTCTCGTTGCTCGTCAAATTATGACCGTTTTAACATTATGGTGTGACAAATAATGAACATCTGATTCGGAGTAATTGTTCATTAATCAGCAGGTTAAACGGACATAAATTGCCGCGAAGCGGCGTCAACGTGATCGCTTCCAATTTCAGTACATCATCGTGAACTATCGATCGGTTTAATCTTGCTAATGAAAACAGTGCTCGATTTAATCGTCGGGAATTTACATTTGAAACAACTATCCCGCTAATTCAGCGAACAACCAATCCTTTCTATTTTTCTTCCCGCTCGTTCGTTTTCCACACAATTTTGTCGCTTCGAGCTTTATTCAAATTTGTCCCGGAAAATAAATACACACTCTCCGAAACCTATCCCTTTCCTTGGCAAGCTCCGGGGAAACGGTCGTTTCCCGCGGGCAAAGGGCAAATTACTTTTCAATCCACGTCGTACCTCGTCCGTCGATCCGGCGACGCGAGACGTCAGTTGGCAGGCTGGCAAGAAAACCGGGTGACAAACGAAAACGGGCGGAAAATTTTCGCGCGTCGCGTATGAAAAGTACACGGCGCCGGGGACGCGACTGCCACGGAGTGAACTGTCGATCGATAGCTATCGTTCCCCGTGATTTACGCCGTTCTCCACGCGTTCCACATACGTAATCCCCGCTTGTCTTGCGACAGGACATCCTCGCGGGTTAGATAAAAATGCCGCGTACACGCTTTGAATGCGGAACGCCGCGTTTCGCCGAGCAGTTCGCGCGCACGGAACGTTCCTCGAGACGTGACGCCACCGTCGAAAAAGGAGAACGCCTCCGGGAAAGTGGAAGACTTCTCGAGCGACGACGGAGCGAGAAGAACGGGTTTATGCATGTGGAGATTTTTATGGAGATTTTCATCCGTCACAGGTAACACGAGGATTGAGAGTGTGCGTTATATTCTGGTGGAACGATAGAAGTTGGTTTCTTCTGTGGTAGATTGTAATAGGAATGTAAATATGTGGGTTATTTAAATCGAGTGTTAGTTAACATGTGTTCTCGCTATTTTTTCGAAGAATTTTTTATTTACTTAGCAATCGTCGCGTCTGCGATGGATACAAAATTGAGGTCAATTTTTATTAGAGTACTCAAAGGGTTAAAAATACAGAACTTGGTCTATGAAAGCTATTGTTTGGTTAGAAAATGGAAATTGAGGGTTGCTTGATAAGATTAGAAAGCTAAACACGGAGAAAATTACTTTAACTTCAAGTGGAAATTTTTGTTCCGCCCAATCTATAGTCTGGATATTGCTTTTTCTCGATTTTCATTTGTCTCGGACAATATATTGTGAGATACGTGGTATGCATCTAGGAAATACGAAGGATGTCTGTAAGGGGATTGAAGAACTTCTGTTCAGGCATCCAATTCTTCCACAAAAAATACTAAAAAATAAACAGATAAGAAAAAAGTAATATATCAGCGGTCTACGTTAATATTTTGCAACGTAGTTTCTGTTTAAAGCTAAAAATTCCTTAACACACCACTCGAATAAACTGACCACAATTGAATACACATGGAAACGCAAAAATTGAAAGAAACAAGACAAAAAAATGAAGCCAACGCGAAACCAGGGAAATAATTCCATTTAATTGAGAATCTGGTCTCCTCGAAACACAACGATTCATTTGCTCATCCCGTTGGATGAAAACATTCGCGAGTCGAACCTCGTCGCTGAGAGCGGACTCGTTTGAAAAATGTGACGCTGCGCGGCGAGGACGCAAAAAAAAAAAAAAACACTAAAAATAAAGTCGCTTTAATAAATTTCGTAAATGGCGAACCGGCCGGAAGTTGTTTTCTGTCGTGAATTTTTTTGTCCGAATTAACGGCCGCGTAAATCTGCCCCCGTGGATTTTATTGGAGCGGCAAAAGCACCACGGCACTATGATAATAAAGATGCTGTACGGTAATAAAGAGTAATTAAATTTCTTCTTTTTTTTCCACCCCCACCGCGCCGAGTTCCTCGTCGAGAATGTTTTACACCGATGAGGGGCGTGCGGAGCGCCGAAACAACGGAAGAGCCGCCGGTTGAAGTGGAAAATAGAAACTGAAAAGGC